TCTCTAACATCGACAAGTTCACCAATTTAATACAATCTTCAAAAACGATTTTGTAAAAAATGATTTTACACATTAACAAAATAGTTACAAATTATGTACAACTTTATTTATCCTTGCCTTACGTAACCTAACACAAGCCTAAGCATTCCACCTTTCAAAGTTATCATGTTATTTAACGCTAACATAAATTATACAAAGACATTTGTTTTTCTATAGTGTCGTGATTGGCTCAGTACAAATCACAACGTTTTAACGCTAACATAAATTATACAAAGACATTTGTTTTTCTATAGTGTCGTGATTGGCTCAGTACAAATCACAACGTAGACTTTGGTTTAGTTGTTGTTAAGCGCAAAGCTATACAATAGGTTATCAGACATGGAAACTAAAGTTTTAGCGTGGATGTGCCTGCAGACTTACCGCTAAGTCGGTACAGAATATGAATAACTTTCTTTATCCTCGTATACTTCAATACAACTCTAAGCATTTATCACATCAAAGACATTTAATATTATACCTCTTTTATTTCTCTAATTTTTTTCAAATTCTATGCTATATTTTCTTAGATTATCTTTTCGCTTTAAATAATTCGGCATATTTAGTTTTCTCTCCATAAGCCCTCTTACAAATTTGACTGTTCAACAGACTTGATACAGCAAGGTTACCTTAAATACATTAATGAATTAAAACATGTAGCACTTGACCTATATATAGAGAGGTCATTTTCACAATGGTCGAGCTATTTTTCTGTAGACATCTGACCGGAACATGCCACATACTGCATAAGACATAACTTTGTATATTTTTATGGAACTTACATTATTAAATTTAATTAATTCAATATGTTTCTTTGTTGTTAAGAGCAAAGCTACACAATAAATCGTCTGTGCTGTGCCCACCACGGGTATTGAAACCTTGTTTTTAACATCATGAGTCTTCGGACTTACGGCTGTGTCACTGGGGGCAATTCATTATGTATTTTAGTTATTTATAATATTATATAGATTTCCCATATAAAGTTGGCCAAATGTGATAAGCATGTTACATGAAGTGAAATATGTGACAGTTCTGGTCAATGTTTAGTAATTCGCTAAGCAAACCCAACCTTCTTGGGCCTAAAACGCCGTTAACAGCCACGGTATCCAACTGAGTGCCTAAGTCATATAGGCTTTTTGTGGTTTGTCTCTCACTCATAATTAAAACTAATTATTAGTAATTGTAGTTTTAACAGATTTTTAGCAACTTTTCTAGTTATTATTTAATTTGATATTACTTGTTTATTCAATGAACTGTTAGGGGGAAAATTATAGGAGCTCCCACTATTAATTTTGCGCGTAAACCTCCTACAACTGTTAATAACCCTGTATTGTGGTTTCACGTATTGTACACGAAAATTCATCAGTCGTTAACGGGAGGGAGATTAACACATAACCCCCTGCTATTGTTATTTAACACTTAAGTCTCCTACCTTTGTTATATTACACGCGGACCCTCGGTTGTTTCAACTTAACACTTAGTCTCCTGCTGTTATTGTTTCACATGTAGATTCTTGGCCGTTTTTATATAAATTACAACCTCTCTTGTTGTTGTGATTTCACTCGTAGAGCTCCTGTAAGTACTATTTAGCACATAGGTCCTTTTCAGTAGTTATTTAAAATATAGTGTCCTCTGTCGCTATTATCCCACGTATAGAGTCCATAGTGTTATTATTTAATTATAAGTAACATGTTGTCTTATTTGTCGTTTTTTTTTCATATGTAGATCTCATGCCGGTGTTATTTCACATGTAAACCCCTGGTCTTGTTATTTAATTACTAATTAACACGTTTTCTTGCCTGCCATTGTTATTGCACGTGTATGTATCATGCCATCATTGTATTGTTTCACACGTAGAACTCCAGTCGTTGTTATTTGCACGTAAACCCCTTGACGGTGTTAATTAATTGTTCATTAACACATGGTATGTTCTGTTATTGTTATTTCACATTTATTGTTACATGTATGTAACTCATGACGCTGTTATTTCACACGTAGGGCTTCTATCGTTGTTTCACAAGTAGTTCACTGAGCTACATGTCATTTAATTGTCAACTAACGTTGTCTTACCTGCCGCTATTATTTCACACGTAGGGCTTCTATCGTTGTTTCACAAGTAGTTCACTGAGCTACATGTCATTTAATTGTTAACTAACGTTGTCTTACCTGCCGCTATTATTTCACACGTAGGGCTTCTATCGTTGTTTCACAAGTAGTTCACTGAGCTACATGTCATTTAATTGTCAACTAACGTTGTCTTACCTGCCGCTATTATTTCACATGTAGATACTCTGTTATTACTTTTTAATACATATAATCCTATCTTTTGCCTTGTATATTAATATTTTGCTCTTTTTATTTAAAACACAACACAATTTCTCTTGTCGCTGCTATTTCACTCGTAGACATCACGATGTTGTTATTTCATTTGCAACTAACACACTGTATATCCAGCTGTCAGGTACTTCATACACAGAACTCCTGCCGCTGCTATTTAAAACGCAGATCAACTGCCGCTATTATTTCATACATAGACCCTGGTGTTGTTATTTAGTAATGGTACGAGATACACGAACCTCTTCATGTTTTTATTTACTTGTAAATCTCAATTGTTCTGTTTTTTATCAGTCTCATTCATTTGTTTTCAACATCCATAACATAACCTGCTACTTATATGTATAACCTGCTACTTATATGTATAACCTGCTACTCATATGTACATTTCTAACCATCAACGGAAGAAATGGCAAAACAATTTCTTCGGTCTTAAGAATAAGGAATGCTATAACTGTGCCATGGCTTTATTATACAGCTGCTTGCCTTAAGCACGTGCAGAAGATTGATTGATACCATAAAGAAAAAATACCACCGTCTTGATCGCGTACTTAAGAGTTGCAAGCATCGGAATAAAATTTAACAAAGATAAATAAAAAATATATATTAATAATTTCTCTTGCCGTAGATTTAAGGAAAAATAATTTCTTTAGTCCAATACTAATTTGGAACACAGTCAATCCACTTAGTACTTATCAGATAAGTGAATTTCACCTGTCGTGTGACTTATGTTATAGTGATCCTCTTGAAATAGGAAAAATAATAAAAAAGGCAGCAGTTGAACTACACTAGGAGCCATCTTTGTTTCTGTTACGTATTGAGAATTTGAAATAATCCAAAGCCGCGTTAAATGATTTAACTTTTAATAGTTGAAATGTACCCTGGATTTAGTGTTTAGAAATATGCCGATATTTTATTTTATTTACGCTATTTGCCAACAAGATTGATTCACACCGTTTTTGTTTTTGACATAAATACGTTTTAATATATATATATATATATATACAACACTATAA